GGATCATGCGATTATACCTCGATCATCGTGAGACAGGTGCTCAACGCAGAAGCGCTTGTTATCAAAACCATAGATCGATTCATCAAAAAAAAATTCATCAAAGAGAAACTTGGAAAAGTGATAGACCTCAAGATGATCATCGGCTAGCTATACAAGTTATCCTTTTTAACAACAGATATTATATCCACAGTAGTAAAGCAGTGGCAAAACAAACAGTAAACCAGGCTAAACAGAGCACATACATGCAACACGTACCTGCACACGAGCGTTACCACGCACGCAGGCATCCACCACCCGAGTATCCGATTTGGTAACTGCGATCATCGGTTACTGGGTCCAACCGATGATCATTACGAAAATACAACCGATTGACACACTAAACGAATATCAATTTGATTTCTCGTTCGTGCGCGCGCATGATTTTGCATTAAGGGGACGACGTTAATTTTCGTTCGCTGGAAACGTGCTTGACGTCGCGGCTTAACACTGCCTGCGTGCCGGCAGGGCCTCGTCATTCGTCCGTCAGTGATTCGGTCAATTTCTTCTGTGAGTAAATTTAATTTAAATGTCGAATGTTGTCGTCGACCGTACGAGCGCCATAGTGAAACCCGCATTTTGAATTGTTTGAGGTGCCTTCAATGAATAATAAAGCTTGATATTTAGCTTAAAACAACCGCTGATTATTCTGTCTTGTTGTAAGATCGCGGCTTGAAACATTCAATTTCCTGCAATGTCGAATTTTCGATAGCGTTTTTGAGGTAACTTTGATGTTTCCTCTAATGCGCCGCCCTCGGCCGTAAGCCGAAATAACATGACATTCGAATATAATGGAGATCGCTACGTGCTTTAGCCAAGCATACGCGTTCGCACACTAAGATTCGACGAAGTTTTAGTTGATCTATTTTTGCTCGATTTTACGCTTTTAGTGATGTAACAAGCTGGGTGGGGGGGGGAATTTCGCGAATGGCGCAGTAGGCAATGTCGCGATGTGTATATGAGTTTCACTGGCATCATGAAAATATGTATTGGGCGTTTATGCGATACGTTATCGATACGGGGGCGCTCAAGATGTACTGAATGCGCCGTGCGTGCATCTGCGGGTGTGCGTGCGTGGCTCTGCTGTGTATGCGTGCACTGGTGAACATGTTGCGCGCCGCGCGCTGCGTGCGCGAATTTGCGTGTAAGTCGCTGTGCGTCACTGTGTGTGGCGTTGTGTGCGTGTGAGGCATGTGGCGCCTAGGGTGTGCGTGCGTGCGTGCGTGTGGCAGCGTGAATGTTGTGATGCCTGGCACATTATATCCATCATAAAGTACAGTCGGATTTCACCAGCAAAAGGCAACAGCTTATCCGCCGTGCGCAACCTTCCCACATTAATAAATCAGCATCCGCAGTGGTAATTACAATTGCCTAGTTATTTCGGCTATAATTTGTTCAAAGAAAATGCTTTCCAAAAAGGCCCGCCACAATCAGCTATACTCCGTATCCTTGGCGGCCTGCAGCATGACTCATACAAGCTGCATTCGGCCTGATCTGGATGAATGAGTTCCTTTTTTTATGACTGCCGCTGCTACAAAGCCATGCGCATCTGCTTTTCATTGTGCATGCTGGGGGAGTATGTCGCAGGTTTTAACGCAGGAGAAGCCTGCGTGCACGAGAATACGTGACAGCGCGATTTGCTAGTTCTGCAGCCCGTCGATGATGTTGAAATGTGTGCTGCCACAACATCACCGCACTACGACCATCTTCTCTCTCTCTCTCCTCCTCCCTCTCTGCTCTCTTCTCTCTGCTCTCTCTCCTCTCTCTCTCTCTCTCTCTCTCTCGCTGCTTTCTCTCTCCCTCTCTTCTCTCTCTCCTCTTTCTCTTTCCGCTCTCATCTCTCCCTCTTTCTCTTTCTCGCTCTCATCTCTCTCTCTGCTCTCTCTCTCTCTCTCTCTTTCTCGCTCGTTCTCTCTCGCTCTGTGTATCTGTCTCTGTCTCTGTCTCTGTCTCTCTCTAATCTCTGAATGTCTCTCTCTCGTATCTAATCTCTGTCTCTGTCCTCTCTGTCTCCTGTGATCTGTCTCTGTCTCTGTCTCTTGGCCTCTTCTCGCTCTCTCTTTGTCTCTCTTCTCTCCTTCCTCTCTTGTCTCTCATCCCCACCCCTCATGTTATTTTTCTCTCTCCTCTCCTCTCGTCTCCACTCACTTATTTCTTTCTCCCTCTCTTCTCTCCCTCTCATCTCTCTCTCTCGCTCTCCTCTCTCTCTCGTCTCTCTTTTCTCTCTCTCACTCACCTCGCTCACCTCCTCTCTCTCTCTCTCTCTCACTATATCGCTCTCTTGTCTCTCTCTCTCTCTCTCTCGCTCTCTCCTCTCCTCTCTCTCTCTCCTCTCTCTCCTCCTGCTCTCTCTTCTCTTCTCGCTTCTCTCTCTTCTTCTCCTTTCTCTCTCTCTCTTCACTTTTATTTTCTCTCATCCTTCTCTCCAATTTTCCGCAAAGCTGATTTGCCTTATTTACGAGTCGCTAAGCTATTGGCAGCTTGCCTGTCGGTGCAGCTGTCGTAGCTCATGTTACCGTCGATCACAATGTATGACAGAGCCACATTATGTACCTTATAATGAGGCATGTATATATATATATATCGATAATATCTATATAATCAGAGTTGAATACAGACAAATCTTTGTCAATCTGACACTCAAAAGTCGAATGTCGTTCAGGGCTTCCATAGCAAGTGGCGAATAGGCCGGTGGCCCTCATGCATGCATCTCGCAGGCCGATTTATTTCGCGCTGTGTTCCTCCTCCCGTCCTCCCCAGGTCCTGGAGGTGCTGTGCTGTGTCCCTGCCTCCGCCTCCTTCCCCTCGCCCTCCCCGTCGTCGCCTCCCTCCCCCTCCCTTTCCTCCTCCTCCCCTCTCTCCTCTCCCTCTCCGGGTCGTGTGGTGCTTGCTGTGTCCCCCTTTTCTTCTTCCCTCCCCCCCCTCCCTCCCCCTCTCTCACTCTCCCCCTCGGGTCGTGGTGGTGCTTGCTGTGTCCCCCCTCCCTTCCTCCCCTCCCCCCCTCCCCCTCCTTCACCGTCCCCTCCCCCCTCTCTCCTGCTCCCTCCCCGGGTCGTGGTGGGTGCCTTGCTGTGTCGCCCCCTCCCTTCGCTTCCCCTCCCCCTCCCTCCCCCTCTCCTTTCCCTCCCCTCCATTTCTCTCTCCTCCCTTGTCTCTCCTCTCCCTCCCCGGGTCGTGTGGTGCTTGGCCTGTGTCCCCCTCCCCTTCCTTCCCCTCCCTCCCTCCCGCTCCCTTCCCTCCCTCCCTCTTCTCTCCCTTCCGCCGGGCTCGGTGGGTAGCTTGCTGTGTCCCCTCCCGCTTCCTTACCGCCTCTCTCCCCTCCCCCCTCCTTCCTCCGAGCCTCCCCTCTCTCCTCTCCCTCCCAGGTCGTGTGGTGGCTTGCTGTGTCCGCCTCCCCTCCTTCCCACTCCCCTCCTCCTCTCTCTTCCCTGGTCGTGGTGGTGCTTGCGTGTCTAATCCTTCGCGCCCCCTCCCCCCCGTTCTCCCCCTCCCGCTCTCGGCCTCCCGCTATCCTCTCCCTTCCAGTGTTCGTGGTGGTGCTGCTGTGTCCCCCCCCCCCACCTTTCCCTCCCCTGCCCTCCCCTCCCCTTTTCCCCCCTGTCCTCCCTCCCGCTCCCCCCCTCTCCTTTCTCCTACTCCCTCCCCAGGTCGTGGTGGTGCCTGTGCTGTGCCCCCCACCTTCTTCCCACTCCCTCTCCTCACGCTTTCCTCCCCTCGCCTCCCCCTCCCCTCTTCTCTCTCCTCTCCCTCCCCAGGTCGTGGTGATGCTTGCGGTTAGTTCGATCCTCACGTCTCTGGAGCGATGAAGCAAGAGATTCGATTAGACGCTTAGGACGCTTCGACGGAAAAGGCAAAATCCATCTGAAATTTGGCTTCATCGCAAATTACATCTTAAGCCGGTACCAGGAGGAGGTGAAGGAGGAACAGGCGGGGGAGAAGGCGGGGTCGCGCGGCTGCACCTCCCTCCGGCGTGTGACGGGGGAGTTCAGCCGTGGCGAGACTTTCCTGAGCACTAGTCACGCTTCACGCCAACAGAGAGTTCAGCTACTATACAGAGGGCGGGCTTCTGTTGAAACACATCATATAACCCGCAATGACATCGCATCCGGTCTTCCGCGAGCGGCCAACGCAGTCGGTGACGTCAGCCGCTTACAGTCTGAGGAGCTCCCGCGAATGTCGCCAGAGGGCGCTCGTATGCAGCGTTTTGTGGAAACTAGTCGCATAATTCTGTATCCGGCATCCATTCTGGATCGTTGAGTGGAGTGCTCCGAGATACTTTCATAAGTGGTTATGCGCACACGAACCTCTTGCTTCGCTGTCTAGTGCGTGCGTGCGTGCGTGCGTGCGTGCGTGCGTGCGTGCATACGTGTGTGTACGTGTGCGCGCGTATTGCGTTTCTTGCATGCATAGGCGTGTGCGTATGCGTGTGCGCGCGCGCGCGTGTTTGTAAGTGCGTGTGCGCGTGCGAGTGTGTGGCTAGTACATCCCTCGTGGAAACCTTTCTCGACGCACGCTCACACGTAATGGATAGAAACTATTCAAAGTAAAAAAAAATTGCCGGCGTCAGAGTGGATGGTTCTTCTTCTTAACCCAGTGGCTGTCAGTGCTGCTTCAAGCAGGTACTGCATTAAGGCGCTGTCAAACGATGTCTTGCCCTGCACTAATCACAGCCGTGTTGCATTTGCTCGGCCATTCATACGGCGGTACGGCGGGTGATGGTGGCTGGGGGTGGGTGAGGGAGGGTGAGGAAGGGTGAGGGAGGGTGGAGGGAGGTGGGGGGAAGGGGTGGGGCGGGGTGGGGGAAGGGTGGGGCGGGTGAGGGAGGGTGGAGCGGGTGTGTTGGGGCGGGCGGGAGGGAAACCCCCTCGATATGTAACGCGCCACGTACTAGAGAGGCATAATAGTCGTATACGCAGAACGTAATTAATAAAAGTAATAATTAATAATTTATTATTGTACATATATTGATTAATAAATAATCGAAAAATATAATATATATATATATATATAAGAAATATAATAAAAATAATAATAATGATAACAATAATAAATAGTAATAATAATATAAACAATATTAATAATAATGATGATAATATTAATATTAATTAGTAAATGGTTGATTAATTAGGATGTCTTTGCCTGTCGTCGGTGTGTAGTTTGTAGTATCGAGTTACGGCAAACGAGGCCAATGTTGATGGTAGCCTTAGAGACGGCAGACGTCTTCTTCGCATGTTTTTTTGCGGATTTTTGTCTGAGAGATTTATACCTGATAAAAAGTCAGCTAAACATTGCTCGTCTGTTCGATCGTCAGAAAGTAATGCGACCATCAGAGTGCTCCTGCTTTTCCGCGCGCATCCTAAGTGGTGTTGACAGATCTCTCTACCTCTCCCCCCGCTCTCTCTCCCTCTTCCTCCTCGCTCTCTCCCTCTGTCTCTCTCTCTCTCTCTCTCTCTCCTCTCTCTCACTCCTCTCCTCTCTCTCTCTCGTCACCTCTCTCTCTCTCTCTCAGCCGCCCCTTCATCCTTCCTCTTTCTCTCTCTCTCTCTCTTCTCTCTCTCTCTCTTCTCCTCGTTCCTCACTTCTCCTCTCTCTCTCTCTCTTCTCTCTCTCTCTTCCCCTTTTCTCTCTCCATCTCTCTCTCTCTCTCTCTCTCCTCTCTCTCTCTCTCTCTACCCCTCTCGTCTTCTTTCGCTCTCTCCTCTCTTCCGTCTCTCACTCCTTTCTCTCCGTCCTCCTCATCTCTCCACCACCAACCGTCCCACCCACTGTTCTCCTCTCTCTCTCTCTCTCTCGATCTGCATCGCTCTCTCTCTCCTACTCCTCCTCTCTCTCTACTCCCCTTCTCTTCTCTCTCCCCTTTCTCTCTCCTCGCTCCCCCCCTCTGTCTCTCTCTCTCTCTCTCTCTCTCTCTCTCTCTCTCTCTCTCTCTCTCTCTC